TTTAAACCCCCGGGGGGGGCCCCCCGGGGGGGGGGGGGTGGGGGGGGGGGGGTGTACTCATAGTCGTGCATGCCGTAGTCGTTAGACCATTGACCTCGCATCCCTACAAAGCCGGGACGGAGCACGCCGGGTTCTCACCGGACCAGGCTCTCACATCACCAAGCGCGAAGCGCCGTGAGGTATTTGGCGAGTCGCATGAAGGGTGAGCTGCATCCTGCTAAGGGTGTTCGGCATCTTGTGCTTACTTCCTTGCGTACGGATGACAGCTGCGTATGACTTAATTTATTTTCTGGTGCTTTCACTTCCAGAGACAGTTGTAAGCACTGTGTAACTGCCTCGAGGAAGCTTGACCATTTTAACACAACGTGGTGCGATCATCCCCCGTTGCGCGGAGTGAGGTTTCTCGACCCCGCACAACATGATCTACTCGACCACCATTATGGTTACCGCCAAAAAAAAAAAAAGAGGTAAAAAAAAAAGACGGTAACCTGGTTGCCGAGTTCACGAAGTGAATTGGCTTGTTTTACAACGTCGTTGCCAATCGACGAAAACCCAATCCCGATGGCAAACACCGAGTGGGGGGGTTAGGGGGGCATACATCGCCTCACAGCAGTCATCTCTACAAAACATGCACGGGGCAGTAGAATACGGTTGCGCTGTCTTTGTGTTGCAACACCTTTTGTCTTCGCATGAACACCCTCACGATAACCATTACTACTGTGGCCATACGGCAAGCAGGAGGTAAAACCCGAAGCTTGGTACACGCCAAACTATTTTGACAAAACGCCCCACGGCCCATGGAAAGAAAAGCCATCGGTGGTATGGTTTTCGCAAAAAAAAAAAAGCATTGTTGCGTGCTCGAACACCAACCAGTTGCCATGCACATCGTATCCGACGCCCCGAGTCTTATCCCCACCCCGGTACACATCATCCTCACCGCCATGTGCGGAAGAACGATGTGCTTGAGCTCGTTGAACAGGGCGTCGCTCTTGAACGTGTAGCGGTAGCGCTTGAGAACCGAGTTGGCCGACAGCAGAGCTCCGTTCAGAGAGTGGTAGTCCTGCAAGGTTCGGTCGCGTTCAGAGCAGGGTTTGGGCAACAAAAGGATGATAAATGTTGTTTATTGGTGCTTGTGATACGCTGTGGAATCGTACCAAAAGTTAAAGTTTCTTTCATCCAGGATGTGAAATGGCTGCATGCCAAGTGATACTACCTCCGAATTGGTCGACAAGCAAGGGTCGTTGATAAAAAGTACGGGGTTCAGAATTCGCGGGGTGCTTCAGTTGAGTGCAGGGCGCTACAAGACTCTCCTGAGGAACAGCATGCCACGCACCAAACGGTAATGGACAACAATTTTTCGAGACCTTTCGCCGCTATGTAATGCGACAAAAAAGTTGTGCCGACGCTTTTGATAAAAACTGCCAATATTTGCGACAACTGCGAAACAATAGCAAAGCTGTCTCACAGATTCGTCCAGAAAACGTGTTACACGATTATTGACAATGCCGTCCTATCAACCCGCAGCAACGCATCGACCAACAGCCGGGAAAGCGCCACCGTCACCGCCGACATATACGGGAAAACAGGGGTTATAGGCAGCAGTCAGAGTTCTTCCGCAGGCCACGCCCGACGCCCATTGCGCTACTAATGATAGTAACCCTTGGCTCTCCAGGTGCGTAGGCTTGCCGAGCGCCATTCTGTCCCCCCCACCACACATCCGAATCCGAGAAGCACTCCCGCATTTGGTGTGTCATCTCAACCGAACCGAACCAACCACTTTGATCTCGCCGCACACAAGACAAACCAACAGCGGTGGGATGGACGGTGCGGTGTTGCGGCACTCCTTGGCTGTTTGTGAGGGTGTTGCGTTCTGAGAGCAGCGCTGTTAGAGTGCTCTTGTCCCACCTGGCCGGAAGTCTTCATGAGGCGGACCAGGTCCTCGATGAGGTTCGCCCAGCGTGCTGGGAAGTCGACTTTGCTGATGATCGTCAGGGCCTCCGCAAACTGTCGGGCGAACAAAAGAACGAAGGAAGAAAGAATCGTGACCACGCGCTTGTACGAGACGGGGACGGAAGAAGTGCAGGGGTGTACTCAAAGCCGCGCATGTCGTAGCCGTAAGACCATTGACCTCGCATCCCTACAAAACCGGGACGGAGCACGCCGGGTTCTCACCGGACCAGACTCTCACATCACCGAGCGGAAAGGTATTGTGTGCAGCATTTAAAGGGAGCCCGAAGGGTATAATTTTTGTTAACCCTCAGGTGAAATAGATAATCACCTGGCGCTGGACCTCCGGCGGCGCCCTGCACATGAGCGGCACGATGTTGGCCTTGATCGTATCCTTGTCCGCCTCCGCTAGGCAGTTCTCCTTCCCGTCGCCGTCATCCTGAGCACATATAACGACAAACCGCGAGACACAGCCACCGCAGCAGCAGCAGCGGGGGGGGAGAGACAAATACGGAGGGTTGCGACTATTGTATCACAAACAGGGGGGTACATGATGAGGGCCCTCGATACGGCGGGTATGTGCCAGGCAGATTCACCGACCCTATACCAGATACCCGCCCTCTATCGGCGTAGGATACAACGGCTTGATTGTTTCATCTGTGCCAAGAGAGTTTACCCGCCCTCTACCGGTCATCCGCCCTGTAGAAGACCCACGAATGTAAATGATGACGGCGTTTACATTTTCAACACTGCCAGGTATGCATGGCTATAGCTTCCACGCCCCGCTGCCATCCCATGGTAGAGCTTTTCCATGGAGGAGCCATCCCATGGTAGAGCCCAAAAAAGAAAATGGGTATGATCCCAAGAGACAAAAGCAGCAGCACTGCATGCACCGCAAAAATTCAAGTATCTCTAATGCTTAAAGTTGGTATAAATATCTGCTGCAACGGTGGGACTCTGGGGGATTGTTTTTCTCGAGTCTGTTTTCTCAACAGACAACGGCGACGCGGCGGGAAGGTGTCGAAATCGATCCACGATCATATTTCCCCCGCATACCTTGTAACACCGGTGAACAGCGATCGCACACATGGGTTTGTCTCTAGACCTCGGTGCACCAGATGAGGGTCAGGAGCAAAGTCACACGCAAGATGCACATGTAACGTGCCCTAGTTCCCCTTCGCTTGGCCTTTGGTTTTATTTTCCCGTTCTGTGGCATCCTCAATCAAACCTTGGTGCTTGTCACCACAACCAACACCCCGCAAAGCCGCGGCTAGGACACCACAGCAGGCTTAAACAGACACAGCCGCTGCAGCAAATATACACCTCCTTTGCGCCAGCCTTAGCCCGCTACCTCTATGCCTGGAATACACGCCGGCTACCGCGCAGTGAAGAGGACGCCGGTCTCAATCACGGACCCGAAGGTACAGGAAACACGACGCTGAACGCCTTCGCGCCACTGCAACCGCTAAACTTAGGACGCAGAGGGGCATTGGCGTCCACTACACCGCCGTATGTGTCACGCTCAATCCCTAGCCAACACCCCCTCCGTACGAAGGAAACGAGTGGCCATCGGTGATCGATCCTGTGGGAACAATGCTCCGTCCTCTCGGGGACGCGTGGTCTATGGTCTACTCGCTGAGGCATGAATAACATGAATACCTCCCCCTCCCCCTATGACCCTCACCGGACCAGGCTCTGCCCCGGCTTTGTAGGGATGCGAGGTCAATGGTCTAACAACTACGGCATGCACGACTATGAGTAAACATCCCCCCCCCCTATGACCCTCGCGGTGCCCCCCCCCCCC